GAGAGGGCTGTGCCCTATCCAGGCAATATATACGGAGGTACCCCTACACTTCAGAATTTCCACAGAACTATAAAGGCGAAAGTTTAATGGAAGAAGGGCTCATAAGGCGGCTGAGAATTTCGGGTTGACGTGCTAACCTGAAAAGCGAACGCGACTATCCTCCATGATCAAAACGCAGGAACGAAGCTGGAAGCTATTCTTCTAGCGACGAGGGCCAAAGTAGATTTAATCACAAGTATAGATGGTCTATTTGGTAAAGGTAGTTTAAGGTCCCTGAACATAACACCAGCGCAGATTCAAAATTCTTCAAGGTGTTTACCCCTTAGCATCCGAACACCAGTTTCTAGGATGACTGAATTAAGCTGCAAACTTGCAGGAAACAGTGAATGACAGGACAGACAGGATAGAAGGATAGGTTTGCATGGAATTTGCAAGGACTGACTAAAGCATATGGTCGTATACGTGGAAGGGCCGGTAAAAAGAGGACGCAGGTATCCTTATACTACTGATTGTAGGCCTGAGGGAAATATGACATTTCTATAGCAGCTTGAAACAGCAATCTCGTACAACGGATTATACCACACAAGGTTTATGACGTTCTGACCTATAACCAGCTAGCCATAACTAAAATAATCTGAAGAAAACGTTCAGGTGAATTAGGACTCAATGTCCATTCTCGATTGTCAATAAACGTTTTAAATCAGCCCATGATAAGTTTTGACACTCTAACTGATGAACTTGAAGGACAAATAAAAAAGAGGAACAAATACCATAAGAAGCGGGTCTGCACAAGGCAAGAGATAATAATGATATACTAATTACACAGGCACTCGTCAAACGGACATGGAACAAGGCTTACCTCCAGACAACAGTGCGCCAATGCCCCAAAAAGTGCCTCCACCTAAAGATGTGCCTCCGACGCGAGAGTACGAGCCGCCAGCTTCCACCTTTAGGAAACTGACGCCCGATCCAATGTTAACGAGCAAGAAAGGGTAAGTGTCCACCATGCATGAAGACAGGAAGATATGAGCAGGTTCGGCGCGCTTGTCATACGTGAAAACTTCGTCTGGAATGTTTCGAAGAAGAAAGGCGCAGCCCCGTACAAGAGACTCCATCTCGTCCTCGCGTTCTATTGTGATGCCCGGAAGTTTTGTTGTAATTGTACTTAAGAACTTGAATGCCCCACCGCCTGTGACCCGGCCCACCAATTTTTGGTGGCTATTAACAACGTTTGGTATTATATTTTCGCGAATGAAGTCCAGACATGCTTCAATGAAGCGTGTTTCGAACTTGATAAAACATAGTTTGTGGCCTTCATATTCGTGTTCGCGATAATCATAGAAATCAAAAGGACCACAGACGGTCATTTTTCTTTTCGAATGGGGGTCAGGCAGCTGTTTTGGCAGACAAACTTTGTAGCGGAAAGTCGTTTGGTAAGCAAGTTTTGCAAGAGAGCCGCCGATATCGAGTGCAAAAACACATTCGGAGAGTTCATCGTGTTTTTCTTCCAATTCGGTGAAACTCGATATATCAATTGGGGAAGCGTAGGTCATTAAGGTGACGTTTGTCAATGAGCAATGAAGAAGATAAGGCAGCGTGAGAGATCTAAAAGGAGAGAAAATAAGGACAAAGTAGATGTTGGCATGCGATCAGTTGTCTTAGGGATTCTAACAAACTTGTACAGCTGAAGATCTTGATCGAACTTAATTTGTAAGGCAATTAAACGCTCTGGAAGCAAATATCACAAAACTGTTAGACGCAACCACACGTCTAGAACTAAGGACAAAGGCGTCTACCGTGTGATCCACAGATTGGACGCAGCACCACCGGCTTATGCGTGAATTAGTTTATAGTAAGGCGGGCTAGTGCAGCATCTATCGATGCCAGGACAAAG